GTCAGATGCAAAATCAAATTAACTTCAAATAAATGTTGTGTTGACTGTACAAATTATAGAAGAAGTATCAAAAATCCTTGCGTAAAATTATTTCAACTCCTGCTCCCGCAGATTCTCCGTTGTAACAAATTTTACTCCGCAAACACAGTGTGCATAAATCAGGCGCAAGCATTGAACATCTCTCGATAACACTCAACAAAAAAATGCAAACACTCCACCTTGCCATCATTGCTGTCTTGTTAATGACCTTGGCCGTCATCTCTCATGGCCAAAACTCCAAGATTAACATAAAGACTCCAAAGTATACTTGCTGTATGCCTCGTGCTCACACTGTCCACGCCAAAGTTACTAGAATGGGACTTTCCAACTGTAATCCATCAAATGGTGATTGTCACTTTGATGGGGTGAAGATTATTCGTGAAAAACACATGCCAGATTTCTTCCATCGTCGTTATCGTTTAGATTTACAAATTGAAGTGAATGGAAAAGTGGTGAGTGATGAAACTACATTAGGTTTCATGGATACTTATCCATCTAACTTTGGTGTTGAATATGTTTTTAACAAAACTACTTGTTCCTGTAAACAATTGACTAGACAAGCTGCTTACTTGATGGTTTCATGTGTTGATGCTGATTATCAATTGGAAGGACATGTTGATATCGGAATTAAGAGTGAAGATCATATTAAATCCCAGAAATTCATTCGTACAAAGCAATTGAACTCCAATACTACACAAATTGATGTGATGGTCGTTCAACCAGTTCAAACTAAACCCCAACCACTTCCATATCCAGATCCATATCCATCAGATTATAATTGTGCTATTGTTTATTCCGATACTAGAATTGAAAGTAGAGACACCAAAGGTCAATTGAATAATTTGGAAACTATTTCAAGTGAATGTTGGGACTTTTTGCCTTTTAACACTGATAGTGATTATGTGCTTCCATCTTATTGTCCAAAATGTCATTAAATTCTTTTAATCCTTGTAGTATGTTAATATTCATCACGTGTTGAAAATGTTGTTGTTTTATTGTTAAAACAATGTTTTCATTCATCTGATGATAAATATGACGTTTATTATCTATTTAAATAGTAGTACTAAAAGACTTGTAGTAGTACATGTTGAGTTATGGTCCATGTACTTTTTCAAAATTAACATGTACCTATCCCTATCAAACTTGACCAAAATTGCTCATAGAAAGTTCTCCTACTATTGACCATTCCAAACAATACTATATTGACAGTTTTCCGACTTGTCCAATAGATACAGTGGATGATGAATTTAATGAAAAATAAATTAATTCCACAAATACTATTATATTGATAATGAAACAATAATAGTATTGATGATGGCGAATGATCGGATGATGGAACACCAGCTTGTGATTTTCCATCATGATGAAAAATAAAATCCAATTTCATAATGATACTCCACTAATAAAAATTACTATTATTACTACTATTCAGATGATGTTGAGATGGTGATGTGAAAGTTTGATAGCTTCAAGATGTGAAACCACTCCTAAAATCAGCATTACCACAAATTACATTGTTGATTTTAAAAATATTTTTTATAAATATTTTTAATGCCCCGAATAACTTGTTTGGTCCGTGTTTTGGTCGTTTTGGTGACCAAAGCTTGAATTTTATTTTATTTGTGATCGATTTTGTAAATTTTTCATTCTGACCACCAACTTTGATCGATTTTTAATTTTAAATTCAGAGCAAAAATGGGACCATACTGTTCTTCTTCGTGATTACTATCAAAACTTACATACGCAGCAGAGGGATACGAATGGATTTACTTGATAAAAGTATCAAGTTAACACTAATAACATGAACAATAGATGAACAGTAACAATGATTGTTATTTACACATGAACAGCTATCAACAATCCAACCCGACTGCTGTTCATCATGATGTGTGATGATTCATCAATAACCTTCTTCGCTATCCTCCTCGACCTCATTGCCATCATCAGTAGCTTCTTCTTCCTCTGCTGGTTCTTCAGTATTCTCTTCCTCCTCCTCAACCATTCGATCAGCAACCTCTTCCTCCTCTTCATCAGCATTATCAGCAACAACTTGATCCTTATACTTTTTGTCAAGGTACTTTGTAATTTTGTTTGAATAATCAGATGCAATTCTCAAGTGGGTGTCAATTGCTTGTTTGATCTCCAAGTATAAATCTCTGGGCAAAGAGGTTCGGTGAGATCTCGATTTCAGAGTGTCCTTTGGAATTCTGTATTGCTTATCTGATGGAATGATAGAGAAATGCTCATCCATGAGAGTAAGGAATGGGACTACAGAACCTAGTTTGCCTTTTTCCAATTCCTTCTCTTTA